CTTAAACAAGATATTTATTGTAAAGTAAAATAAAATTCTGGGGTTTAAGACTATCATTCCATAAGTGACATTATATAATTTAATTATAGTTTTAAGGTTCTTCTCTAAAGCATTTTTTTCTTATGCTTTTAGCCCTTACATTAAACCCTGCTCAACAAAAGGACTCAGATTTCTGCTTACTGACTAGTCAATAATCCATTTTCATAATGGAATACATAAATGACATTAAAGATTCTAAAATCACAGGCTACATGAACCAACTATACCCAGTCCATTGGTAGTTCTCTAAGCCAGTGACATATCTGACATCCTACAGCTTTTAATCCTTTCCAACTTGCACGTTCATGAAGCTTCACTTCATCAAAAACGTCTTTAATTTAAACACCACAACCCAAGACAGGCTTTCAAGACTGTTATTTGGAGCTGCTTTCCTAGAAATCTTTACAAGTATTGAAATTAGGTTTATAGTTTTTTAATCAGCTGGTATTTCTAAACTATTAACTCTCCTAATGATAACCAACAGCACAATGACTTTGATATTGATATATTGATCTCATAATTTTCATAATGCTGTGGATGTAAACTATCATTATTTTCACCCTTATTTGCCCCTTTATTTCATTTTTTATATACAATCACTGCTGCATATGAAACTCCAGTCTTCCAGGTTTTTTTATTATTAATGTCTAAAAATAATCCTCCTTGGGCTTATTGATCACAATCTTGTACCAAATCTAGAACTGCAGGTAGGAAAATAATTACCTATCAGTAGTTACCATTTTCCCAGATGAATGATTGTAATTTTACCACTGGCACTTGACATGAAGAATTTTTTAGTCTGATTTTATCTGATGTTCAGCTGTCTCTCATCCCAGAATCCATTTATTCAATGAGTAGTCGCACAGAGGAAACTGGGAGACCTGATGAGCTACTTCTCCCTTAATCTTAATTTTTCCCCTTCTCTAGGTTTGCAGTAGTAAGCATTACTCATTGGAGACAAAGCCAGAATGGAATAATTTTTCTGATAAGCCTTCCTCTTAGAGTTTCCTGTTTAAATTTTGAGCCATTTCAATGGGTAGAAAGAATATGAAAGTTCTCTTGTTCATGTCGAAGAGAGGTGCCCAGCTAAAGGCAGATTTTAGACCTGAATCTCCACTGTGAGTTGAGGAACACTAAAAATTTGTCTCATCTCACCATGACTGCTGTGCCCAGTAATTAAGCTGAGACACCAGAAGCACCCACAGTAACTTAGCAGAAGTTTTTTTCACTGAGTTAAGCTTTTAATGACAATGCCTGGACACGTCCCTTCTGAATAATCTAATCAGGAATATTTAATCACATTTTTATAGTTTAGGACCTTTTATTCTAGTATTTAGTGAGCATAAATAGGAGCCACTATTGAATTTTCCCACTGGATCTCCATGCTTATAATTTTGCCTCTTTCTTCCAAGTTACCTGGCATTTCCTTCAGCTGCAGAAGCCATTGTAATGATGGCAAGAACAAGAAAAATGTTGGCTGGACAGGCAGGAATTCCTCATGAGATTTAGTGTGTGATCATCTCATAGCAGATGGAGGGGAAGACCCAACAATTCCTAACAACATTAGCAACCTTGCAATGCAAGATTGACAATATTTATAGAAAAAAGACTTTTCTGGAACACACTGGTAGAACAGGAAAGTACCCGTGGGTCTTAAGTATGGAGTTAAGGGAAGGAGTTCCAGAAATCTGGGGTTGTGGTTGTTATTTCCTCAGGGATAAACCAAAAATCAAGAGCTACCACATAACTGTGGTTAAGCCAGTGATGGCACAAAGTTTATAAACTGACTTTTTCCCCTGTATATGAAACCAAAACGAAGGGATTGAGAAGACAGATGAGAAAAAAATTTCCCGCCTGGAGGCTGAAAGCAGATAAGATAAGGAAAGATTACAGAACTTTGTCCAGATATGAAGTTAGTTTTGAATAAAAAAGTAGACCTGGAGCTATCCCAGGCCATCCCAGAGACACAACCAAAATGTCCCCTGTAGCAAATGCCCACAGCACACAGTTATCTCGAACTAAAAAAGGCTTTGAAATACTCAAAACCAACTTCTTATCTTCCTTCACACCTCATGACTAAATCTCTCAACTATTTCCTCTGCAACACCAAGCAATTCTTCCCTCTATTACCCTTTTAAGGGGTTTTACTGATTTATGTTTTTTCATTCATGCAAAAAATGGTTATAAGGCACAGAAGGAGGCTGATGCCATTTCAGAGGCTCCCTGCTGCCCTTTAAAATATTAAAATATTCTTAAAGAATCCAAAGCAAATTTTTGCTCTTCGAGAAGGGCAGAACTGTCACATCATCCCATTGTAATTCTCTATTTTGGTGTCCTGATGAAAAGAATTTAAGAATTTCTCCAATTTAATATCCAGTGGTTTGCACTCCTTTATTTCTTTTCATCACTCTTTTTCTATAAAGTATTATTATGGATCTTGGGCAGTACTTCAGGTTTCTGTTTTCTGGGTTTTTTAGATTAGTATCCCTACTCCAAACTAAATGACTCAGCCACTTTGGTTGTAAAATCTCCAGAGTTCTTGTAATTGTCTGTGCTCCCTTTGAGTGAACTCTACTATCTCAACATGTTGACCAATTTTCTTCTCTAGTTCTTCTTCAGAATAAACACTGACATGATTCCGTTTCTTAGTATATTCTTCTTTTATCTAATTTGGTCTACCTACACTTTAATCTAACTGTATGTATTGCTTAATTCCCTGCAGTACTTGAAATTCGGACTGTTATTAAATTGTGGTCAGTGCTTCTCCTTTAAACGGTCACTTCATTTCACCATAATACTTACGCAAAATGAAATACAAAGCACTATCCCATCTAGTCACAAAACGAGCCAGTCCTTCCATTTCTGAATCACTTTAGGCAATAGGGGAAAATGAAAATCCTACTTAATACTGTTCTCTCTTAACTAATAGCTAAGCCTCCTTCTTCAGCATTTTGAGGAAGGCTTCATTGTTATTCAGAGGTCATTACTTTTTTCTTATAAATCTACTATTCTTCTTGGTCTCCAGGGGCCTGCTGCATTGCCTCAACATTTTCATAATTTTAATAATTTCTGTCTATCCAAAGAGACAACTGTTTGCCATAATGCACCATGTCTTTATTTTCAGATATTACGAAAATACTAATTAATATTATTGTTATTACTTTATAGTAATACCATGTGGTCAAAACTTAATTCACTTTAATCCATTATCTCACCAAATTGGTTATCTTTGTAATAGGCAAATCTCTAGTGATAGAAAGTATATTTTCATGATCCTATTAACCATTGCTGGATTTCCTATATGGATTTCTGGGAGTGTCTGCCCTCCTCCCCGTAACAAGACTACAGAAATAAACTTGCTCATGGTATGCTGGAGCAGCTGTACAATTCCTCACAATTAAAGCAATGCTGCAGCTGACCCTGACATTATCTATATGTTAACAGACTATCCTATATCACATCTACCCTATTTAAATTTCCAGAGAGCCAGACTATCTTCACAGCCCCTTTTCTTCCTTTCACCTTTCTTTCAGGGCTCTATGCTTCCAGCCACACCTGTTTTATCTCTCAATGCCTCTGTGAGAGAGGGAAAGCAGCTCCTCACACAGCTCTCAGTTATCTGTGGGTAGAGGAGCCCTGAGGTGCCTTAATCCAGCACAGGTGCAAAAATATCTGTACTAGTTCCTCACTGGAAGCAGGGGTAGCATGGATGGGATAACACTTCAGCAGGTTCCACACCATCCAACAGAATTCCAAGAGCTTTTTCACCTTCCAGCTGATCAGGGGCTCTGATACAGGGGCATGGAGAGGACACATAAGATGATGGTCAGGGCCAGTTCCAAAGACAACCCTCACTCAGCTCGAGCTTTGTCACCTGTCCTTCCTTAATGCTGCATCGACCACATCATGCCCTAAAGACACCCATGGCAAGCTTTCTGCTCCTTGAAGGAAATCTCCTCAACACCACTGCTTCCAGGGTTCTCAGAGCACAGGGAGAGGAACTGAGCAGAAAGGCCAGAAGTCACCAGGGAATGGAGGGACTGCCCTTGGCCAAATCCCTGCCCTGGGTCAAGCCAGGCAACTCCCATGAGTCAGATTTGGGGGTTTTGTAATGCAGGTGGCTGGAGATGTAGGACTGTAGGGTCCACAGAGTCAGAGCAGAGCTACCCCATGACAATATGACACTGCCTCTCAACCAAAACTCCAGTTAATGGGTTGATTATGGGGTTAATTTTTCTCCTTAAAATAAATAAAATGCAAAAGGTCATTGGTCATGAGTTTGTACAGGATGGCCTGACCCAAATAATGAGTTAGGCTCAAACAGCAAAAGATTTCCGTAAAAAAAATTCTCTTGGGGTTTTCAGATTAATAAAGACTGAATTGCTTTGCTTTACCTTTTGAATTTTTTTAAGGGCATTAACTCAAATATTGAAGTTTTTCTAGAAAATGCAAGAGCTATAAACTGTCTTCAGAGAAACAACATGCAAACCAAACCCACACACACAAGGTTGAAATCTTCATGTGATTGCTCAATTCCAGAAAACAGAGCTTTAAAAATATATAAGATCCCCTAAACAGGTGAAAATCAACAGTGAGGCAGCTAGGACTTCAGAGGAAACCACGAGAAGTATTTTCAGCATGAACTGTAAAAGCACCATAGAGATTCAGAGAAAAGTACCTAGGTCTTTCAAAACCACATTGACATCATGATGAGCCAGTAGTCACATTTTGCTGATTCATGTACAGATCTTCATCAATATAATTTAATAAAAAAAAAAAAAACCAAAAAACTCATCACCAAAAAAATCACCAAAAAAAAACCCCAATGAAACAAACAAAAAAAAAAAAAAACAAACAAAAAAAAAAAAAACAAAAACCCAAACCCACCTCGGAACAAACAAACAAAAAAATCCAAACTTCTAATGACCAGGAACAGGATTATAGGGTAAAGAGGAGCTTACCTGGATCACTAAGAAATTCCTCTGAGTTGTTCCAGGTTCTACCATCCAAGTACAAGGAGCCATTGGTGAAGTTAAACATGGTGTAATCCCTGACACATTTGTGTCTCAGGTTGCCCATGAAGAGCTGGAGGCCTATGAGGGCAAAGACACTCAAGCAGAAAACGGTCAGGATCATCACATCTGCAAGTTTCTTAACAGACTGGATAAGTGCCCCTACAATGGTCTTCAGTCCTAGGGAGATAAAAGCCAAGAGTTTATAGATTGAGAGACTGAAATGTGTCTGCAGACAGCTGCTTTTCATGATGAAAATCTCCATGGAAAGGGAAATCTGCAGGGCTTTGAGTATGTGTTTGCAACTGGACGTCAGAAACGAGAGACGAGTGATCACTACGAATGTCTAGTTTGGCCTGCTTTTGGACAAAAGTCCTGGAATTGCACAAACACTGGCTTTAAAATGAAGGAGAAGAACTGGACGGAGGGACAGTGAGATATGAAACTAACCATGGATAAAGGAAATATGGAATGTTTTATATTTTCATGGAGCTGCAGTAAAGGTGGTAAAGCCTAAATCCCATTGAATTTTGAGAACGTGAATTTCTTTTAAATCTCTCAGGTGATTCTGATAACTTTATCCCTCACATAAGTAGATGAAGAGGTATGGAAATGCTGTTTATTCCCTGATTATTTTACATTTTTAGTGCCAAATCCAACATGCTGTCCTCATATGAATAATTCCTCTGCCTTCAATTAATTTGCTTAAGACAACAAGAATTTGGGATTAGAAAAAAAGCCAAATACAGTCAATCAAATAAATGCAGTGGAAATTATTTGAGTAAAACAACCTGAGGCTCCAACACTACCTGGGCAAAGTTAATAGTTTTATAGTATGCTGCCAAAGTAGATAAATAATCCCATTGCGTAAACCAAAGGCTTGGGTCACACAAATTAGCTTCTCTTCTATTATTTCACACTGTAACACTATCTTCAGCTTATTCTTCCTTAAATATTCAGATATAAATAATTATACAGTGTTCTCAAGTGATAATTCTTGCTTTTGAAGTGTTCCTGGAGATCAGCACTGTTTGAGCTGATTAAATATTACACGATACAACAGAAAGCCCCGCTCCTTTTTTAAAAAATACCCTTCTCTTCTAAACTGGTGTGCTGCAGCTGGACATTAGTATCAGCTGCACATTGGTGGCAATTTTGTAATTTCTTTCCTATTTATATTTAATTAATACTGGTAAGTGCTAATAAGTGCTTCTGATAATCTGTGTCACCAGTATGGCAGCAATAAGAGAAATTGATTTAAATAGAAAAAAAGAACATGCAAAGAGGAAACAGGAGGAATTCTCCTGGGCAATATTCAGAAGCACATTGATTTGCTCACTGAATATGAACATATACATTAAATCTCAGTTCCTTGGAATTCCACCCCAAGAGTTTGGCAGCCACAAAGGCTGAGCAAGTGCTGTGAAATTGGAAATAATGTGAAAATGTACTTCAGGACTCATAGGAAAGCAAAATTAGCTTTTGGCTTTGCTTAAAAATCTCTGGTTAGACTGAGGGGTTTCTCAGATGAAGATGAGCTGTTGGAATGAACAGCTGCAGCAATCTCTAAAATACTCCACTCCTGCATAGGATATTGGTAATCTGTGAATGATGTTAACATCTGTAAAATGGCCCATTTAACCAAAAGGCACTGATCCACCAGCTGTGGGGAGCTCACAGAATCACAGAATGACCAGGATGGAAGAGACCTTCAAGATCATTGAGTCCAACCCAGCCCCAACACCTCAACTCAACCCTGGCACCCAGTGCCACATCCAGGCTTTGTTAAACACACCCAGGGATGGGGACTCCACCACCTCCCCAGGCAGCCACTCCAGAACTTTATCACCTTTCTGTAAAAAACTTCTTCCTAATATCCTTATTTCCCTTGATGCAGCTTGAGACCGTGTTCTCTGTTCTGTCAGTTGCTGCTCTCCCCACTAAATTCTGTGTTTGCCTCTCCAAAATTAGTTTGTGGCATGGCAAAGAGGCTGAGGTTAGACAGCTCCCTGCTCTGCTCAAAAACAAAGCATAAATTATTGCAGGACAAACATCAGGCAAAACCTGGGTTTTCATGCTTCCTCACCTCCTCACCAGAAAGAGGTTTTACAAATGAGGTCAGTTCTACTCAGATACTTGAAAAAAGCCTGACTTTGAATTTTTGAACCTATCTGTAGGCTTGGCTACCTCTTTCCATGCCTAAATAAAAATGAAACCTCTTCTGTTAATCTACCCTTGAGTAAAGTTTTTACCTGAATGGGATGTAATTTTAGATGTAGGACAGTTCTGAAAATAATTGTCACCCTTGTCCAACATTTCAAGACCTTTAAGGCAGCCAGGCCCTATACAAGTAGTGAGGTGAGGAAAAATATTTGCAAATAAACTAGAATATTTTATTTTTAAAATCTAATATTCTGAAATATTTTCAGGGATTCTTATCATTGCTTGTCCTTTGAATGTACAGATGTTGCTTCACTGAAGTTGGTTAAACTTGGGAAATCCAAATGCAAACAGTCTTAAGGAAAAAATACTACAAATTCTTTTACTGCCATACTCCCTGTGAAATCCCTGGAGAACATTATGTGTTTGTAATGCAAATACAAACTTGGAGTCTGTATTTGTACCATCTAAGTGCACTAATTAATCTTACTCATATGGGCAGGGACAATGGGAGTCCTAATATGATTAGGGATAATATTAGAGAAAAAACCCTACAAAATTCTAGTCACCAATAAAAACACTCCATTTTCAAAATCAGGCCTCAGTATTGCCAATTTCAAGGTCATTTAATGAAACATGTTTTTCCCAGATTACTTACTGGAGTTTTAAATAGAATAGCAATTCTATACTCTTCATTTTACAAGTTCATTCCTTGCAGGTATCAAATAATTTCTTTATGAGAGGGTTTCCTGCTTTTCTTCCTTTTTAATTTTTTTGGTTTTTTTTTTCATAGCTTACAAGCTTCTGAACAATTTAAGAGGATGATTCTTTAGTAATACAATTTCCGTAATTAAAGACCATTTAAAAATAACTTGTACTCTGCCTCCTGGACCTTTGTTAAAACTTTCCAGGAAAACCATTTGGAGAGTGTTATACTTAGAGCTGAACTGTTTTTTCTCACCCTTTAAAACCAAAATTTTCTCAGAAAATTAAGTAGCATCCATCAAGGTGGTTGACACAGCTATGTGCCAAGGCTAAGGAAAATATTTAATTCATTGCTCATTCAAACTATCTGTGCCTCTAAAACAGAAGGGCTGAGGGGAATTAAGGACACTCAGGACTTCTTGCAGGTGCTCTGCATCTCTCTGAATCAATCCCATGTTTTGTAAAAGCAATGCTAGATGTATTCAAATTTAAAGCACAGTTAAATCTTCTGGAGAAATAATCCTTCTTTGAAATAGTGCCAATGAGAGCACTGCAATATAGCTTAATAGAAGATATTATTTATGGGGCATTAAAGGCATTTACTTAATTCTTGCAAGCCAAACATCAAACCAGGCAGCATGCAGGAAAAAACCTGAGGATCTGATCCAAAGTTGAGTAACATCTACAGCTGTTAATGACAATGGGTCATAGATTACTCCCTGTGGAGTAAATCAATTATAGGCTTTTTCTGAATCACTGACTTCTTTCCACACCTCTGGGCCAAATCCTGCTTGCAGGACATGAAAAAATGCACGAGATCCAAATCAGTGGAAAGAGGGCTGTATAGGCAGCCTGACATCTGCAGAGAGCAAGAAGAATTTGGCCCAAATGCTCCTGTTAAGGCAGGTAGAAATTATCACATTCAGAGGTTAATCAAATAATCATTTTTCAAATGCAAATCAGAAACCATAGAAAATGCAAGCAACACCAAACAATGAGAAATGGCAAGATCCCAAAACACCATTCATTCCTTATGTGAGATGTGAGAAAGTATTAACATAATTCAGTATGACATCCATACCAGATGTTGGCAATCACCTACAGAACACCAGACACGTTCATGCACAGTCTGGAAACAAGTGGGAAGAAGAAGAAAAATGAAAAAAAAACCCACAAAAAAAAAAAAAAAAAAAAAAGAAAAGAAATAAAGAGTGTTACTTGCAGCAGGGTTATCCTCATTGAGTCCATTCCTTTCCCTGAGGATACACCTGTGTCCTGAAAATGTCTGCATGAGTCACAGGCATGTAGGGAGAGGAGGGCTCACCCTTGATGAGTGTATTTTGTCATTACTCACTGAGACATGGGGCAGCAAAGAATTTAACAACACGTTGGCAAACTTGAATTGGTGTCAGCATTCCTGCAGGCTGGCTTAGTGTGGAAAAGTGACTGACATGCCAGTCTCCAAGGAAAACACAAATATGCCATGCTTCTCACTTCTGGGATAGTTACTTCTTGAGTTAAGTGATTTAGCCACCAAAAGAGTGACATTTATTTCCCTGCAGCAGGATTTCAGCGAGACTGAAGCAGTGAACGGGGGTCACTCTCCTCCACACAGTCTTAATTCTTGTTCTCCAAGCTCTGTTCAGGCTATCACAGAGGCACTGGATAACATTCACAGCACTATTTATAGCCTTTAGTCTCACACTAACTTAAATGGGAGCTGGATCAGGCCCCAAAGTGCCTTGGCCCAATTTTCTATGAGGTCACCTTTCCCCGGTACCCTGTTTTTGTGTGAGATGTCCGTGGTGTACACGCCTGCTCCAGAAAGATCAGGGGAGCTTCTCTGGATACAGCTGCATGCAGGCAGTTCTCAAAATCCTGGGGATGCTGATGAAGATGATGATGATGGCCTGCTTTTTGTGGTCTTTTGATGGAGAGGGTGTACCTCAGGGTTTATATTATCTCAATTAGTGCTTATCAAAACCATTGGTGATTTCCATGAGGATAAAATATGTTTCAAGACCCTCTGTTGTTATTCCTATTGAGCCCACTGGGATTTGGATACTCTGGTAATGGGATGCTAATGGGAGACAAATGAATGGCTTCAGTGGGTTGTTCTGCTGCTGACCATGGTTTCTATCTGGCTAGAAAAACAAATGAATCCAGTTGCCATGGGAACACGCAAGATGCCAATTAGTAAATCAAATCACCGAGAGTTAAAGGTTTTAAAATGCTCCCATAGAGAAAATGTTACCTATTTCTAAGAACCTGACCCTGCACAAAGCTTGTTTTCCTCTCAATATCATGGGCAACTGGAAAACAGGAAGAAATGGGTGTGCTCAGTGCAGAAAAAGGAAAATGAAGGGGTTCCATGGAGGTCTTTGGCACATTAAGGGCTGCCACAGGAGATAAGGTACTGACCTCCAGGGGAAAAAAGAGAGATCTGATGAAGCAAGAGGGAGGGAGGCTGCATTCAGAGTCAGCATCTACAGGTCCATGCACATTTGGAGCAGGAGATACTGGCACTATGGCACCCAAACTGAGCCCCAGCTCTCCAGTGAGAGGGAAGCTGGGTGGTAGATGCCAACATTTGAGTTGTTGGGTCTGGATCTGAACCATCCACCTGGCACAAATCTTCTAATGACAAATACAATGAGTTGCTGGAACAGTTCCTGGACTTCTCAGGAAGACCCTGGGACCTCCACCTCTGAAAAAAGGTGTCAAAGAAGTCAGGCAATAAATACCATGCCATACTTGAGCTGTGCTAAATGCAGCCTTAGGCCAGGGGAATGGACTTTGAATTTAGATCTTTTTCAGCCCTGTGAGCCCCTGTCCCTCTAAAGATCCCTGTGCCTGCCTGAGCACTTAGAGACAGACATTAAAGGTAGGTGAGATTTTTAAAAGCATTAATTGTCAGCTTTACTGACTCCCTCTGGAGTCAATAGAGAAACCCATTGATTCCAAGTGAAGCAGAATGCCTTTGAAAAGCAGCCTCTAAGTGCTTTTCTGGACAGAAGCCTCGCACCACCGAGGACTTGGCCCGTGGCTTTCTGTAAGCAATTTCACTGAGCACGGTGAGTCCAAGCATGTTTGTGCAAATAGAAGCACCTGATGGAAAAGTGATCAATTTTATTGAGGGAAAGCTCAGGTATTTCCAAAGGAGAATATAGCTTAGTGTTTTTCACCTGAGATGTGAAAGACGAAGCAAAAATAACAACCACCTTCTCCTCTCTATGGCAATTAACCCCAAAAAGCTCATGAAAGGTGTTAATGCTCATCATATTTTCATTTTTAAGCCTGAGGTGAAAATATTTCACCACATCATAAGCCTATGTTATCATTAAAATCTCAGACTGATCTCCAGAGAAACCACAGCATCATGTCCAATATATCATTTAAAATATATATGCCTAACTGTAAGATGAGCTGACTCCTCTGAAATGATCTGCTAATATTAAAAAAAAAAACACCTTGTCTGTTTTTCACTGGCAGCTATGGCAATTTGTAGCTCTTCACATTTGTAATTTAATACTCAGGGCACAGGTAATCTTGATGATAAAATCAAAGGCTAGATATTCTATTAGCATATCTACATGCACTTATGTCACCAAATAATTCAGGAACTTGTACATAAAAATGCAGTTATCAAAAAAAATAATCAAATATTCAGTCAGAATGAAAAAAGAGAATGTGAGGTTTTATGCATTACTTTAATAAATAACACTCCTCTTTTTTTTTCCCTTCTATTAACCAACAAATGGAACAAGTCAGTATTTAATATCACTGAAGGGTTTTGGTGTATTTGAATCTGGATATTTTGAATCTCAGTACTCAACTTTTTCCCACTAAGTTGTATCTTATCATTTGATGTAAATCAAGCTTCAGCTCCCCCTCTGATATAGGACAGCAGAAAATTGTTATATATATAACTCTGAAAAATGGACATGCTCTGCTCTGAAGAGGCTCAAGCCTGAGACAAGATTTAAGGTGAAAGGTGTCCCCTGGAGATGGATGTCCCTCCAAGTTAAGTCTTCAAATTTCTATCAAAGGAATCTAGGAAACAAACTCTGCCTTTCTCTCTGAGTAGCCACCACCATCTCACAGGATCTGTAAAGCTGTGCTCAGCTCTGCTTCCAAAGGAAAATAAAAATCCTATCTTCTATTTCCTATCTAATGGAAATGCTGTTCGAAAAAACTTTTAAATCCCCACAAATCTCTGCTAACAGATTATTTTTTAAAACTTAAAGACAAAAATTAAGACAAGGTCCTGGTTTCAAGGAACTAATGGATCTCTTTAAAATCTGCATTTGGACACACACTTCCAATGAAAAATACCTTGGTTTCCCAGTAATTTCCCTGATTTGCATTACTGTGGTATTGGAATGAGGAACCAAACTCTAGACCTAGATATGTATTTTTTCTTCACACTTCCATTCCTGATTTCCCATTTCTAGCTCCATGTGGTGATGAATTTTAATACATATCCCTGTAAGTTTACTACACATAATTTGTTTAGATTGATATTATAGTGTATAATAGGGTAGGTGGAAAAGACTTTCTAACCTTAAAGATCTGTGAGCAAGAATCTGAGCAATTCTCTCGATGTTTTGAATATTTTTAACATGTAATTGCCAACATCTGTTCAGGATTATCACAGATAGGATCTACCATGCATGGTTTTTGCTATCTTCTCTACCTTGTCATGCAGGTTGGAGATGTTAAACACTGAGGCTGAATGAGACCTGTCCATAGATAATGCTCAGCAATAAAGTTTTGTTGCATGGTTAGTCCTCAGTGGACTCATCTCTGCATAAATTGCTTTATATTTTTTAATAGTAAGAGATTATATAAAGAGCTTCTTTCACTACCAGATGTGTAGTAAAACTGATTTTTCTTTTTTTTTTTTTTGAGGGGGTGAAGAGGGGAGTAATCAAATTCTTGAAAATATGAGAAAACATGAGTCAATGAAATGCTGAACCTACCAAAATAAACACTGAAACGTTTTCCAATCTCTTCAAGGCCCAAAATTTCAGCAGTGTTTCTATCACATGCAAATGGATAAACACCATGACAAATTAGGCTATCTGTGCCTGCAGTCTTGAAACCTCAGCTCATAGCACAGATTTAGATTCCTCTATCGATGTGCTCTTCAACATGAATATGCATTTTGAGGTCATCAACCTTCCATTTCTAAAAATCAATATCCGAAGGTTTTAAAAGATTTTCATTGCCATCTTCACAGGGTTCACAGATGAGCACTTTTATGTGTGTGACTCAAGAGCCACTGTTCTTACTGCAGCACTCATGAGCTCTGCAATTTTGGAGGCACTCTCATTCCTTCTGCCCACAAAAACCATTTTGGAAAAAAACATGTAAGAAAAAGTGTATTCTATTGACAGGTCACATTCCCTACATTCCTCCATTTCCTGATCAGTATCTATGGTTAAGTCTGTCGTAATTACAGTGTTTGCTACTGGAAATGGCATGTAGGCTTTAACTGCAGCCCGAGTGTTTAACCTGATTTTCACCTGAAATGACTGAGATTGTTTTCAGCGCCCGCAGTACTCTGAACGTTCGTAAGGCTGAGACATTGCCCAGGTCCACAAATTCAGTTATGTATCTGTAACAAGGGAAAGTCACACACAGACAATGACAAAACACCAGCCAAAAAAACAACAATCAAAGGGACAAAGAGAGACAGAGAAAGAATCACTTGTAGCTGAGAGCCAAAACGTAAGGATCAGGGCGTCTTACCTGGGATTACTGAAATAGTTTTTAAAGCTCTCAATACCCTGAAAGTCCGAAGAGGTGAAACACTGCCTACATTCACAAATTCTCCTACATACCTGTAGAATTAAGTCACAGTTATTTGGAATTATACAATAGAGTATGAGACTTGTCTGAATGTAGAAAGCATTCATACACAGCAGAGTGAACGCAGCCAAATGAGAGGTGCATCCACTTTTCAGGCTGCTCTTTGATGCCATTTGCCCCAGGTTTTTATTAGTGCACATCATTTCAAATGCTACTTGAACTATTAAACTTTTCTATTAGGCATCCATCCTTTAAACATACTGGGTGAACTCTGTTATTGTGCTGTTCAGCCATAAATACTTTAAAGATTTTACCATCATGTAGTTGAACAAAAAAAAAATTCTTTACATTATTGGAAATATTAAGAGTTATTTTGCTGCTTCAAATACTCAAGCAATTTTCACATAATAGCTTGTGAAAACTACATATAAGACAACATAGCAAAACAGTTCAAACATTTCAACTGGGTTATTTAGTTTAAGATGCTGTATTTCTGTGGTAAAGCAAATTTTGGTTTCAAGAGATGCTTTAAATTGTATTTTGTTTTATATTTCAATTTCATGCCCTTTGGCTGTGGGAAGATGGAGTCTAAATGAATATAACTGCCATCCTATTAAAAACTCTTTATTATTAAAATACCAGTCCCAGCTGTTCCCTGCCATGCCTCTCTCTTGGTCATCCTGGAGACTCATCACATCCGAGCTAAATGCTCCCAGGAGGGAGCATTCCAGTCATGGAATGAATTTCATTTAATCAGTGTTGTACAAAATTATTTCCTCCCAGTCACTATGCAGAAAAACCATAGTCACCACTGTATCTTCAGAACAAAAGAGATCTTGGACCCTTGAATTTTACTTTAAATATTCTACCAAATTTCATTCAACTGCCTTACTTCTTTGGGGTCTTTGTTTCTAAATGTTATGGAAAAAACTCACCTGGTTATTTTAAAAGGCCTGCTTAAGTGGGCTTTGTCCAAAGGCCCCTGGGGAGGACAAAGCATCCTCTCCATATCTACTAATCCAGATTATAGCCTGGAAGAACAACATTGCTTCTCTTCATAATCTCCCAGGGGAGCCTGGGCAACAATTTACCTGTTTCCTCCCCAGCTTTACCCTGTGCTTCTCTCACAAATTCTTCTTCAGCATGAAAGGTGGAGGAAAAAAATAATTTGAGGAGAAGCACTAGGATGGGAATACGGTTTTACTGACCAGAGATTTGTAAAAACACACTATGAATATGTGAACAAGCATATGAAATTGATAACACTGCTGCTTGTAATAGCCAATTGGGATTTATTTTGGTCATTTTTTCAAATAAAATGCTGTTGACCAGCTATTTTGTACCAGGGAGTGAGAAGTAACTGGAATTCCTATCCTGAATTTTCCCATTAGCCAGGGAATTCCTTATTGTCTTTAAGATTTTGACAGGGCACTTCCCAACCCAGAGCTACAGCTGCCTCTCCCTCACCTGTCCTGGAAAGAGGAACTCACTAGTCTGGGAGAGAGGGATCTAAACAAGGGCAGTTTCATAATTTCCTCTGAACCCATCCCTGACCCCAGAGATAGTCACAAGCCATGGCTGTGTCTGTGGGCACAGGACAGGAGAAAAGCCCCAGGGACAAGGAGCACTTCTTATTCTCCAGTGTGCTATTTAAAACAACTCTCTGTGGCCCAATCTGTGCCAAAAGAGAAGACAAGAGGCTATTTTGCAACATCTCTAAAGCAAATGATGGCCTTCCCACTGTAACACACATCAGTGAAATAATTCTATTTTCTGTTAGCTCAAAACCCTCGGTCCATCTGAATCTCATGGCCCCTTATCAGGCTGCTCCATTTTGAATTCCCAGCCCATCTTTGTTTGCAGATACAGAAATACCTCTGGCAGCACACAGGCTACAAGCAGAGACAACACCAGAGTTACCTGTGTGATCCATCTTACTTCAAATTACTCACAAATTGGATTTGTATGAAGGCTAAAACATATCAGAATAGATTCCATTATCCAAGTCTCTGCACTATCTGCTGCTTGCATACTTGGGAAGGAGGTTTCATTGTACATATGAAGATCATATTGCAGCCACTTTTAACTCTCTCACTGCTGCCCATGGGCACAAGGAAACACTTTTCCATTTCTTTTTTTATTCCAGAATTCCATTTATTTTTCTATTCTTAAAGTCTTAGTATAATATGCCTTAAAATAAGAAACAATAGGAATGGATTCTGGTTCTGAAGAGATAGTTTGGTATTAAGAAAATAGTTTGATATTAAGAAGTTTGATAGTTCACAATTGTAGGTCCCCCTGTTTTAGAGATTTTCTAAATAAGATGTGAAATATAATTTTGAAAGATAATCAAAAGGTAGTTAAGAAAGAAAGCACAGAATCCCAAGCCTCTCATAAGAAAAGCTTTAAGGATTTTTCACGATCCTTGGGCAGGAGCACTGAGTGGCCATTCAAGTCTAGAAATAGAAAAGAAAAAAGAGGGGAAAGCCCACATCTATGGGCCCCAAATCCTGGTTCCTACCAACACAGAGTGAATAATTCCCCTGTGGGTTACTGTCCACCTCAAGGTCTGTGCAAACCTTCCCATCTTTCCTGCTCCCTACATCCCAAACATCCAGAGATGATGCAGAGATAATTTAAGGGGTATTCAGATCATGTCCCCCACTGACTGTTCAGACCTGAGTTTCAGTCTGAGGTGCCCCCAGAGCTGGGGGTGATGCCTCAACCTCTGCCCAAGTTGACAAGATGAGGAGGAGCAGATTCATGATCAAAGCTGGAAGCTAGGGCTCCTCTTGTCCTCTTCTCTGCTCCTTTCTACCTTACTGCCAGAAACCTCCTTCCTTCTAGAAAAGTGAGAACCCATGCACAGAATTCTCCACGTTGTGCTGAATTCTGAGACCTACAAATAAACTCACATCCTAACTCACAAACAGATGGATGATTATACCCTGCATTTACCACCTGCCTGCTGGACAGGAAACAGGAGAGCAGGATGGTGACTCTGTGTTCTTGTCCTGCCACTAAATGTTGCAGGAGAATTGCAATGCTTGAGGAAAAGTTTAGCTGAGAAAAATACCCAGTGTGTGCTGACCTCCAAAAGATTCTCCCCATCTGCACTGATTTGTTTTTTTAAAGGCTTATCATAGTGGCCAGATGTCAGTTCAGCCAAATCCATAGGAATGCAGCAACAGATACCAGGACCTGGCCTAGGGCTGGCTTAGATCCAAAGCCTACTGAAATAACTGGGAGTGTTCCTGAGGAAGTTCACTTAGGTTTTACACACCTTACTGCTGTTCTGCTGTTAAGAACCACAGAATTATAAAATATCTCAAGCTATGGGAAGGGTCCTATAAGGATCAAGAGTGAAATTCCCTGTTCCTCACAGGACTGCCTAAAACTAAACTATATGACCAAGAGCATCATCCAGAGTCTCCTTGAATACTGGTCTTGATCCCTGCACCCTATAGAGTTGTGCTTTCAACTTCAGTGTTTTAGGTAACTTTGGTTATATTCTCCCCTGATTTTGGTTCCATTCAAATTTCACAGCCCCTGGAGCTCAGCTCAGATGTTGGTGTTAACACACTTGAATCTCACTTAATGCTGTGAATTATGGGGTTTAAAGAGGGCAGCAAGAACTAACCTAACCCCAAAACTGAATACAGGTATCATTAAGCAGAAAAAGACCAGGGAGATCTGATCAGATCCTTCTGTGCTTAGGAAGATGAGCCTTTCAGACATCTCTACCAGCTTTCAGTTCAAGATGGCACTCGTTCTTTGCACAATCTTCTCTTTTGTGACTGTGAAGAAATTATGAATTCTATCTTAGCTGGAGGACTGTCAGTGTCAGACCTCTGCCTTTGGCTAGAGCTTGGGCTGACCCCGAGTCCCCTGTGAGTGCTGGCTGACTGCTTCTCTACCCCTGTGTATTTTTAGCTGTCTGGATGTTGCAAATCCATCACCTTCTTCACAGCACCAGAACCCCACGTGTCCTCAATGAACTCTAACAATCTGGGCAGAAGCATATAGCTAAAGGGGGATATAATATTGGGGGCCAAATTTATATTTCCAAGATATATAACAAGTTTCAGAGGACTACAAATTAATTCTCTATAGTAAAATAGTAATTACTTTCCAGGTGAAAAGGGTTTGTGAAAAGGGGGACGTGAAAACAGCTCTGATGATGTGATGGATAGATAGAGTATAAATAGGGATTTAAATACGTGGGTATTCAGTCACACTTACAACACTTTCTATTCAGGGGTCTGAAGCTTCCCAAAACTACATTAGATAGGCAGATATTATTACAGGTATTTTACAAACAGCTCTCTCTGTGGAGCACAGAGAGAGTAAATAATTTCTCCAAAATTGTGTAATGAATTCAGAGAACAGAACTGAATATTCCTCTGACTTCTTCCTCTGAAACCACTCAGGATAAAAATCCTCCTTCCTAATACACTTCAGCCTTTTTTCATTTTCAGTAAAATTTGAGTGAAAAAAAAAAAAAAACAGAACACCCAGACAACAATTTTAAAAGTTCTATTGCATATAACTCTCTTGAAAAATATAAAGGAGTGCTACTTACGCCATAACAATAACACTGAAATCCAGCCAGTTCCATGGATCCCGAAGGAAGGTGAACTCTGTCATGCAAAATCCTCTCGCCAATATTTTTATCAATGACTCAAAAGTGTAAATGCCAGTGAAAGTGTACCTGGGGAGCAGAGTGGCCAAGGAAGAAAGAGAATTAGCAAGCAGAAGACGACTGAAACTGCAGGGGCACAACTCTGGGGTTGCTCATGTGAGTCACAGCTGCAGCACTGTGCATGAACAGCCTTGTGTGTGGACCAAGGAACAGGTAAGGAACAGCAAAATACTTGGGACAGTCTCAGAATGAAGATAATTTTCAGCATGGGGTGTCTCTTGATGAATCCCCACTCTTTAATTCAAGCACAGACACCATGCTGCTAAGCTGGGCTATGGGGCTTCTGAACCTCTGCCACATCCAGTGGGCAAAGAGTGGGTTAGGGAATCATGGAATGGTTTGGCTGGGAAGGGATCTTAAAAATCATCTCCTTCCAACTCCCTGAAATGAGCAGGAAACCTCCCACTAGACCAGAATATCAGAGACCCATCCAACCTGGTCTTGAGCATTCCCAGGGATGGGAAATCCACCACCTCTCTGGGTGATATTATGCCTCACTCCTTGTCTTTCCAGTTGGAAGGAGAGTGATTGTTCCACTCATACCTCTCATCTCTTCCTGCCCAAGACATTTTGGAGATTAAAAATATGCCACTACTTGTTTTTATCAGCTAGAAAGGGTAATTGTCCTGCAAATTTCCTTGTGTTTCACTAACCCTGGCAAATCACACCAGCCTTAAGAATTAAACAACAAAATGCCCTCACTAAAAAATAATTGAAAAACTCCCACCTGACTACTGTATGTAGTAATTTTAACCTGCCTGACAGTAAAGGAGGCACAAGCCTGGCTTTTTTTTCGCTTGGTAAATTAAGTTATTACCAACAGCCTCTTGACTGTGACGATCTGGGCTGGAACATAGATCTTACCTTTCATAATAAAGATGACACTTGTAATAAAATTTAGCAAAATCTCTGTGGAGGACAGAATTGGCTCTGATTTATAGATTTCAGATCTGTCCTCACCCAGGGCTCTACCTGCCATCAGAGACAGAGTTCAGGGCATACAACAGCTCTTTTTTAATGTTGCTGCCTGAGACACGTAGCCCAATGGACTGGATATTCTAGGACATATCTTAACAAAGAAATAAATCTTTAGTGTCTACGATGGGCATTCCCTACCCCTTTTCTCCTAATGAAGATGCAGATCATACCAAAGCCTATTAAAAAACCTCAAGCACATCAAATCCATTAAAACACAAATCTCATAAGTCATGATGTGAAGGGCTGTCATTGGAAACACTGGCTTGTGTTTTCTGTTCAGTGCCTAAACATCAATTGGTGCCATCACACATTTAAAAAAATTGTAACAGTTCAGATTCCTGTTTGGTAGAAAAAAGGTGTGAGCCATTGAAGGTGGCAATATAAGGAAGAACATTATGCATAAAATATATTTAGCTGTATTACACTGAACTGCAACTGGTCAAATACACATCATGTCACACTGTAGTGCTACTCACACGTTATAAAATCTCAGTGTGTTTCATCTTAAAATGGGGATTAGCAGGAGAGTTTGGGTGCAGAAGTGAGCATTAAATCTGTCTCACAGCTCCTCTTTGACCATATACCCGAGCATTATCTTGTACCCAACTTTTTCACCACTCCTATTTAGCTTTGCTCTGGTATTTCAAATATAGGTCATGCATGTGACAGTCTCTTTAAGCATGTGTATTTAGTAATACACACAGAAAACACATGCAAAGAACTAAAAAAAAAAAAAAAATCCTTAACAGTACATAAGCTCATTAAAATGATAAAGCACTTGTATTTATTCTGCATATCAGATGGGTTTAATTGATTGTATAATCATCATCTAATTCTAAATGGATCGGGCGAAGTCCTCCAGCAACTGAACAGCTTCTTTAACAACAAAAGTCAGGGCTCTTAAAAAAAATTTAGTGGGGGAAAATTGAACTGATTCCTTTTTTTTTTTTTTTCAAAATGGTAAGGAAAATGCTTTAAAGGAAGATCTAGGACAAATATTTGAACAAGGTTATTCTTCTATCCCCTGTGAGTCTCTGAAACAGCAGAACAAAATGGGTTAAATGTATCTTCTCCAAATCCAATATTAATCAATTTGAATTACAGTTCATTGGGTTATTTTGCTCCTCCAAAGTTCTTGACTTTGGTTTCATTCCATGCACTTGAGGAGGAAAAGTTGAGAGATATGAGGGGACACAGGAGAAGAGGAAACATGGAAGGATTCACTCCATGCTGCATGAGTCCATCTGCATTTCTGTTCTGTGTTTTCTGCAAGCTCTGCCTGATGCACTGATAAAATCATCCACATTCTCCCGCTTGCAGAACACACAAGATTATAATTTTTGGGTTTTTCCTCCCGAATGTTCAAATTTTCAGCTGTACACCAAATGACCAAAGTTTGATGAGATGATCACGTGGATGAGATGTCCATGGCTCAGCAGAAAACATCATGGCAATGGTTATGAAAGTTTTCACTGGGAGAAGGACAACATCAGGGGAAAGGACAACCACAGACATACTTGAGGGTACCACACTATACATGAAACATCCTGGGATTAGGATGTTATTGTGATGGGATGAAATATTTGGATCAGTGCTGCCTATAATTAGTAATTTATGGCCTAGAAGATGTGTCCTGCATGATTTTGTGGAACCTAAATAAGGGCGTCTTACTGTCTTTTCTTACAGCCCTGAGTAGACCAACCACCAGGCTATGAAGCAGCAGATGGCATTTATCATATGTCAGTCAAAAATAAAAAGTGGGTTCTGATTGGTTCAATGAGCCAAAATAATTGTTTAATGCACTGTAGGTTGATTAGCTTGTGCATCTGGTATCTGTTTCTAAAAGGAATATTTTAACCAACTTAAAGAAATGAAATGGGTTTTCATTTCACTGAAGCCCCTTAACATCCTTTAAAATTAATTTAAAAACCCACAACAACAAAAAATAACCCACTTCAAGCAGCGCCTTTGCTATTTTTCCTGAAGCCTTGTCAAGCTAAAAAGACAGGAATTCTCATAGAAGTGTTCCCAGATAATTTGATGTTCATTAAGTATTCCTGCCAATGATTACAGGGGAGCACGTCTCATGCTGTGCTCAGTCCAAAAGAAACTTTTGCATCCATTAAGTTTCAGACTAAGGATAGAGGTAAGTCAGTTTAAGAAATATTCTCTGAAATAATTCAGCTTGAGCTCCATCAACCTATTCTGATGTGTCCAACCATCAAATCTCTTGAATGAGAACTGTGGAAGGCTGACAAGTTTCAAACAGGGCTGTCCTCAATAGGTGATTTCATCCAGATGTAGCATAAAAGGTGCCTTTGGCAATAAGCATGAGATTCATGGACTAAAACTGTTTAGCTTGCTTACTAAGGGAGTTTTCACAGGCTGAAATAACTACCTGAAAAAACATTTTGTGAGGGCAGACACCACAGTTAGTACTGCTGGCAAGAAATGAGACAATAGGAAACAAGATGCAAATAAGAACACAACAAAAGGAAGGATGAGGTGAGGGTGGGACAGCTGTAAAGCAGCAAGGATACTTACTCAACATATTTATTCCATGACGGAGTCTCTGATTGTGCCATGAACACACAATTAGTTAAAATAGTGCACATAATAAACATACTGAACAATGTAAATAGGCAAATTAAGGAAAACAACGTATTTGATACAAGACTTCATAAATTTTTGTCTTTTCACACAAGATGTGACAGCTCAATCACAATTTGCAAGTTGCTACAAGAACTATAAGCATTTGTTTGCAAGTGCATAAGGAGACAAATAATTATATGAACACAGAAAAATGAGGGAACCTTCCCTGCATTTTTTTTTCTTTTCCTACATCTCTTAATCATTCTTTATACAGTAAACAAATGTACTGACTCTGCAGTCCTTTGAAAGCACAATACCCCAAATTTACAGCTGTGCTGGTCAGATGACAATGTGCATAGGTGCACAACTTTGTATGAAAAGAGGGATTAATCTCATTTAAGTATCCACCAAAAGACCTGTGTCTGCAAATTCCCACTTCATTTTTTATCCTGAAACATTTCTCAGGCAGTAGGGGAAAGTTACAAATCTGGTCTTTATAATCTCTTTAATGGGCTTGAGGTCTCGCTTTTAGTATAAGGTTTCACCAAAAGCAAGTATGAGTTTCAGAGAACTAATTTTAAGGTTTGGTCTGCAAACCTGCTGGGCAAACAGGCCCAGCCTTGGGCAGGGCTCTCTGTCTCTGCTGAGGGACCAATTCCCTACTTGGAGGCTAAAACAAATCTCCCAAGTGCACAGTTCACACACTTTGCTGCTAAGCTGAACCCATAAACATAAAAAGCACCCTAAATCAAATTCCTGAAATTAAAAACATCATTCACTGGATGGCTCTCCTAAAAGCACATGCTGTTTTCTGTAAAAAAAGTACAAAATATGATGGGATTTTCCTGCATCAATAACAGCTTGCAACCAGGAAAATCTAACTACAGAAGATGAGGCAAAGGAAAAACAGCCTGCAACCTAGTCAACAGGCAGGTACCCTTCCCAGGGAATATAAGTAAAACCCAAAAATATATTTCTTTTGCCTTAAAAAAAAAAGAAGTTTGGATTGTTTTTTTTTCACCTCTGTAGTTGATTCTGCTTGTGTTATTTTTTTATTTGAGAATAGTGATTGAAGGATTTCGTTTCAAACCTACGTCCTGAAATATTTGCATTAAATTTATCCTCTTGCAGAGCCAAAATCTCTGCTGAATACAGAGTGGAACATTTTCCAATGGGCCACATAAGTAACTGCAAGGTTAAATTGGCAGTAACCAACCTGCAGATTCCCCAGGGCCACCAAAGAAGGCAGTAATTGAACTCACAGGGACTGCTCATCTCCCAAACATCTTCCACTTCTGGGCCAACACCTCCTACTGAAGGACTGGGAAGGATGTCTAATACCCATCAGCTTCAGATATATTTATATAAGTTTTGTCATTCTTGTTAACATAATAATTAAGTTCCAGCTAGCCTAGAAAACACTGGATTACTTTTTCAACTCCAGTGAAATGCTGTGGATGAAGCACAGGAAACCAGAGAGTTATCTTCAGACCATGTCAAACAGCATATTTTAATTCCAAGTAAATAAACTCCAGCGTTGGCATTTAGAGTCACTGGTTTGATTTCTACATGCCTGTTTCCTTGTGATATAAACTGAATCTAACAACTCTCCCAAATGCTCACTTACAGGCAGGTGTCATCACCGCCTTATTCAAGAGAACAAACCAGAGAACACATGTTGAAAACGTTGAGGGTCAGCTCTGGGACAACAAACACACTACAAATTCAATCTGGGTTTCATGACCAAGCTGAAAACTACAAAGAACATAAAAGAATGAAACAATTCAGCTGGTTATGCACCAAAGTTAGGGGTCTGTGTTAAATTAGAAAGAGAAAACAGAAATCCCCAGAGAACGAAAATTAGCATTCCTACCTGAAATCAAATGCAATTGTTTGCATTAGAAAAAGTCCATGATGATGATCTACTCAGAAAGACAAAGCAAAGAAGATAAAACTGAGATAAGCTGTATTAGCAGCATTGTCCATTCCCTATCTTAGAACTGCCATTAAATCAATTTTTCCAAAGCCTACAAACTAAATATACTAAGCTACTCATCAAGATCCTTTCTGCAATAAATTAAACCTATTATTTCCAATTTGAGGTTACAGAATAGCCTTTGCAGAAACCGATTCTAAAAGTTATAAATTTTATCTCCTAGCACAAAGATATCGAGTCCAACGCAGCATACTTCTATTCTAGACTTCATTATGATGGATAATTGTTAATTAGCAGACTGAATACTAGAGGCACTTCAGGTGATCATTGCCAAATTACATATAATATGTGCAAGCAAAGGTTAGTCCCAATGAATAGAATGTTTAATTGGTGCTTCACAAGATCTCATTTTGCCTTATGGCAAGTGTGCAAAATAAGATGGAAGGAAAGCTGCAAGCAGAAAAAATGCACAAAGATTGGAACTTCTGTAAGAAGATTATTTTATTTTTTTCTGACTCACCAGAATCCATAATTCTAGCACCAAGGAAGGTCATTTTTGCCAAACCTCCAGCCTGGATCAGTGGCAAAGTGAGAAAAAGTGTCTATAAAACCTAGAAAAACTAGAAATTACAATTGCTACAGGCTAGCAAACTGCTTGGAGAAACTAAGGACACCACAGAATGGTCCTTGGCTTGCAGGCAAGAAGAACTAAGAGGAGTCTTTTAAACACAAGGCATCAAAGAAATTTTGACACTGATTTCATCTCGTTAGAAGGTGGAGATAGCTAATAAAAATGTTAATGACAGCTAATAATGATGCAGAAGACAAAAGATGCTCATCCCATTGGGAATACAATCCTGCACTCCCATGTGCTCTGGGACAGGAGTGGAGCAGGGCCACCTTCTGGGCAGCCATGGGGGCTCTGGACCATCCATGAGGCCTCACAGATTCTGAATAAGAGGAGAAATACCTAGAAGGGGTTTAAAGATACATTAGTAGTTGTAATAAACATTACTAGGAGGCTATGGAAGTTTTTCCCCTCTGAAGGGTGTAGTTTTGAAAGACTGGAATTCGCAGTCTTGGCTAGATGAGCAGTGAACACATAGCATCTATCCTGCCAGACATCTCAGAGAAAGAGCTCCACATACAGCTACTTAACCAAGAAATGTGACCCCCACAGCTTCTTTATATTTTACTCTGTCCTCTCTATTCTGTTCCACTGTTGGCCTTCATGGTGCACTCAATGGCTGGAAATTGAAATATGGCATCCACTAAAGAAGCTGCTACAGATATTTACGTGACAGGGCACCATTTGCTAATGCTCCTTTCAGGCTTTTGCCCTGGGGAAAATAAAGATTGCTTGATTACAGTCACGCAAGAGGATAGATCTGGTTCCCAGGTCCATGTCTGTGATATTATCTGCTTGAGTACTTGCGGGTTTGGGCTCCTTTCTGCCTGGGATATCGACTGCCTGCTCAGCCACTTGGCCTTTGTATTTCAGGTTGATACAAAAGGTCTTTATTGACAGAAAACAAATCAGTGCCTAATGCAGGATCTTCGTTGTCTCACTGGGACTGGAGCTGTTCTCTCCTGCCTGTGCCTGCCAAAGATTGAGCTGTGGGATCTCTCGACATTATCAACACAAGGTGATAATTTCTGTCTTTCTGGAGCTAAACTTATGTTTGCATTGAGACCTGCCACTCCCAAAATCTTACACTCCTTATCTGACGATATTTCTTTCCTGATAGATATTTTAAATGCTCTCCTCCAGGTCTTTATCCTTAGAAGTAATGTGATAAGGATTCCTTGCTTATTTATCTTCTGTTCAACTGCTACCAAGGGCATGTAGGTCCTGTGCTACATATTCCTGTGACCTCTTGGCTTCACCAGACAATGCAGAAAAAAGGGAAGAAAAGGCAGAACAAGCCTCCAAAGCTGGAAGCAATATTCTCAATTTCTATCTAAGAAGCTCACTTTTCAGATTCTTCCCTTAGCCACACCTGGGCAAATGCATTGACCTGAATTGACTTCAGCAAGGCTGTGCTGAGGTAACTGTGCCTAAAAAACTTGGTTGGGCTCTAGGTATGCAGCTGCATGTGCTGCATTGTGTGCACACATAATCTGATCCACCAGCTCATCTCTCTGCAGAATTCTACAGTGTATTCTTAGTAACCATAATAATATCTTGGCTGATAACACATAGTCATTTTTGCATAGAATTATTACAATCAGAAGCTCCACCTGTTTTTCTGTTTGATGGAATATCTACAGTATCACCTTTTTTTTTTTTTCTTCTCTCTGTGTGGAGTGGGAATCTGATTTATTTCTCTATTTGTTTTCCCTGAAATTTGATAATTAGGCAATGCTTCTAAGATGCTACCTACTTAATATTTATTCATTCTCTGTGATGGACATGAGCATTACAGATGAGGGATTTCCATCACTAAAACATCACGGAATGATCAGAGCAGCATGTGAAGCCTTTGAATTATCACTGCCTGGTCTCCCATGTGCACCCTAGAGAAAGCAGCCAAGTCATGAAAAAAGGTGTGTTTTTAGTAATGTTCACAGAAAGCTGAACATTTGGGTCAGTTTGGCCTTCCACAGAGATAGGACTATGTCAGAATAGAACGTTTCTGGGGTTGTGTGAAAAAAAAATAAAAAAACAAGCCAAAACCAACCACTGCAGTGTGTTTTGCATGACTTCAAACCAGAGCTACAGGAAATCAGGCACTGTCCTTCCATTGGAAGGTCCAGCAGGACAGTCTGTGCCTTTTTTCCTTGTCAGATAACATATCCAAATAAACAAACTAGAAAAGAATCAACAAGACAATTTTTGAAATATTTTGTTTCAGGGAAAAAAAAAATTGATCTGAAGCAATTCAAAATTAAATCATGTCTGCAGTGTCACAGAGGGATTGCTGAAGTGCTTGGAATCTCCATCAGTGCAGATTTCCCCTGGTTGCTTTCCTTTCTGAGGTACTACACCCACTTTCCTTTCAGTAAAGATCATCAGTCCCTTCCCATCTTTTAATCCTGAGTAAACTCCCCAGACTATCCACTGCAGTTCACATTATCTGATGCCAGCAGTATGATACAGTCATTTTTATAGCTCACATAACAATATAAATGAAACAAACCGAAAATCCAAGTGCATTTCTGCTTGTGCAGGCAAATTCAGCCAAAAGATTTAAAACAGCTTAATGAAATAAAATGGTTTCTGACTTCCATCCATCTGTGTTTAAAACCCATATAAAATACATGAGGAGGAAAATCAACAGAAAGGATATGAATGTACCAAAATTTTAATTGCTGCTCTTCTGATTGGATGGAAAGGACTAAGTATATACAAGGCAGGAGTGGCACTAAACCGAAAGATTGTCTTCCCTTTGTTCAGTACTATAAATGTCTGGAAAACAAAACAGGAAATGAGAACATTCAGTATTTGCATTTATGTTCAGCTTTTCGAGCCCACATCCCACTGGGAAACTCCTGCCAGAATCCCATACTTTTCACCCCCTCCCAAGACCCCCAAAATTATTCTCTCTTGGTGATTAGTTTTGTCCAAGGCCTTCCCTACAGAACTGATTGTCCTGTTGTATTATCCCAAGTAGTTTTTCTTTCTTCAACCCTTAGTGGGTCCTGGGCCATCACCTCCACCATGGAGGGAAGAGAGCTGAGAAGAGAGCAGAATCACCTTTAAAAATAAAAAATTACCTGGAGACTAAAATATGGTGGAAGAAATTATGTTATGCTCTTCTTCCCAGGTGTTGCAAATCTCACCCTGTTGTTGATCCATCTTCTCTACTTTGAACACTTTATTGCCCTCAATTTTGTCCCGCCAAGTAAAAAGTTGTAGGAGGCACAGTTCCACACTAGGATCTGACCTTGGCACTGAAGCACTCTCATTGTGCTCAGATTAATATGGCCAGAGAAAAACAATTCTCTGAGTTAACTTAAACCCAAAACAAAAGTGAATTGGATGCTGACCCAATTTGCAGAGCTCTGAAGATGCCCCACCAGGCATAGAGGAACTAATATTCACTCAGAGACAGAATTGAGATACGCAAGATACAAAATCTAAGTAATTCACACACCTTGAGTCTAAAAACTTCATGGCACTAAAATTGCAAATCTACATCCTGTTGCTTATGCCCAGGGATAGCAGGCAAATTAAAAGGTAAATTAATTCTGGCCCTTCCAGGTAAGTAATCTGTTTGTTTCTATCCATTTAACTTTTATTCTGTAGCTCTAGCACGTACCTCTACACTGTTTTAATGGAAGTGCCATTATGGTCATATTAATTCATTGTTTACAGGAAATAGCATAGCCCAAAATCAGGAACAGCAGTACCTGAAAAAACTGGAAGCTGCCTAAAAATACAAAGGCCTTCCAAGCTTTATTTTATCCTCTGGTTTGTGAAATGCTTGGAAAGGGGAATGAACTGTAGTAAGCAACCAGCCCAGCTCTGCTGTCAACAGCCTTTTGACAGAAGCTGTTTGCACTGCCGTGGCTTTGGTCCAGCCTGCACGTGATCCCTCATCAGGTGATGCTCACTTTGGGACAAAGTTCACCATTCTGCAAAGCGCCAGCACTGCACATGCTGCTCACACCTCCCTTCTGCTCTATTTTGGTCATCTTAAATGGAGTTTTGCTCTTCCCCAGCAGGAACAGAACTGCTGCTCTCCAGGAATGGTTGTGAAGGTGCCTCCTGCTCTTGTGCAGAGTGCTCGCACAAGGCTCAAGTCACCCAGAAGCCCTTAACATTAAGGGGCTTAAGTGATAAACAGCAGACCTGTGAAGTCACAGCTCATGCAGAAGGCAAGATAGGGCAGATAAAAACCTCTGGCTTAAATTAACTCAGCTACTGCTCTGCTCATTTCAGATATTGTATATTCATTCTCAGGGTTATCTGAAAACACACAAGTTTAAATTATGCTTTTTATCGCTCTTTGCCCTCCTGCTTAGATGTTTCCTGGGAGCCCTGCTCATGCCCACATTTTGATCCTTAATCTGGGAAAGAAGTATTTTTACTTTTTGTAGAAAGATAACAAGCAGAGCACTCAGAAGAGGTCACGCTTTAGCAGAGGCTGAGGAGCAGGTTGGTGCTCACCTTGCGATCGTTGTAGAAAGGGTCGATGTCCTCCAAGGGCTCCCCAATGAGCTCTGGAGAAACAGTCCCATAGATATCAGGCAGCTTCTTGCAAGCTTGCAAGTCAAACTGAGGCTGAGGTTTCTCTTCCTCGCCCAGCTGCTCTCTGTACTCCTGCTTGGCATTCCTTGCGAGCTTCTCTGCAATTCGCTTCTCGATGGCAGCCAAGGACTCGGGCGTGAACCGGTGGAAGCTGTTAGTACCCGGTGGTAACAAGAAGTCAGCCATCTTTTCATCCTGCTTTGTCTTTACTGGTCTTTACTCCTAGTAGTGGAAACAGCTGAAATTAAAAAAAAGTTATCAAGAGTTAGCGGTGTGAGGAAAACAAGAACAAAGCCAGCAGAATAAGAAAACGCCACCAAACTCAACCCCCAAAAACTCGATATATATAATCAGGAAGCTCTTCATCTGTTTTTATGTGGTTAATAGAACACCAAGGAAAACAAAAATGACTGAAATTGTAATTCCAATAAGAAATCACACACGATCAAATCTAAATGGACTTTATAGATAGACTGTGGAATATTCTTCAGTTCTTCAGTCATTTGGGATCCTAAATCCAAATTAAGACACGACTTAGATTCACGCAAGCTTAAATTTCATTGAAAGCAACAGAGATTCAGATTCCTAACTCATTTTTGAAAATGCAGCTCTGGGAGTGGATGAACAATGTTCCTAAGATGACTGCAAGGCAGATTTAAATCAGCCGATGTCTGGCCACATGATGCAAAATCTAAAAATGCCCCAGCTGTTCTATTCCAAATTTAAAGAGTGAAGGGTCAAGTTTAGATTTTTAAATCCCATAAAAAAATCTTCATAATCTCTGTCTTAGGCTTCTGTAATATAATTTTAATTTTCCTTTGGGATTGGAAATACCATCTTCAAGATATCTCCTCAGGACTTTTGAGCATTTTCTTTTCTTCCACACCCTGAAATCTGAAGGATGACAGAAGCTCAGATGTGCCTGGAAAAGCTCTGGGACCTTCATGAAAGGACACCAAGCTTCCAAGATGCTGAACAGCCACTGCTGCCAGTTTGTCATATCTGAAAACCAGGCTCCTTTCATCCAAGACCAATTTGAATATCCAGGAGTTGGACTCTATGATCCTTGTGCTTTCCAGCTCAAGAAATTATTTTACTCTATGATTCTAACCCAAACCTGTGAAGCTTGATCATCTTGTCCTGATGGTACTTCAATGTTAACACTTCCAGTCTCTGCCTGAATGAAAACAAGTAAGAATTGTCCCATCTCTTCAACTTACATGAATAAAACCAAGCGTGAAAAGCACAGCTGAATAAAAAGCCTTCGTGTATCTGCACTAAACAACACAGAAAGCTGTGAAAATTAATGTAAAACTACTGTTTGGAAAAGGATGAAGCTTATTCCTGTTCTAGCAGCCTGCACAAATCCATCCACTGAAGCCGCATTTTGCAATTTAAAGTCACTTTAGAGGCATGTTTTTCCAGTGAGAGAAGCCCTCACTCCGCAAAAATTAAAACTCATTTCACAGAAGAAACACAGACCTTGTATTTTTGCCACCACCAGGCCATTCATACTCAATCTACTATTTTGTTTGTCACACTCTGGTGACAAACAAAATAGTAGATTTTGAGGTGGGCTACCCTATTTCGTTCAGCAACGCATGCAGGATCCCACTCTTTGTTCAGCCACAACGTTTGTTTTCTGCTTTCAGATGGAATTTGTCTATTTACAATGGATAGTTCCAGATAGTTTACGTCTATTAGGCTCTGTGATGACAGCATTTTTGTTAGCAAACAAGACTCTAACTGGACTCTGCATGACAAATAGCATATTTATTGACTCAATTTCTCTGAGTAAAGGACGCTTTCAAATAACTACTGTCTCTCCTATTCTGACTTCATTTTAAAATGAATTCATTAAATTGTCATTGATCACAGTCTATCACACTGGAATGATTTACTGAAGCTTGTACATTATGCTCTGAATTACAGCTGGTTTGAACAAGCAGGGCTGAAATGAATTACCCTTCCTGGAGTTTGGGGCATTTTTCTTTAAGATTTATTCTCCTTTTTTTCTTTTAGATTTATTCTCCTTTTTCCTTTCCCCTCTCCCCTCTATGTCATTTGTTTTATCCCCTTCCTGCTGAAAAACAGGAAATTAGAAGCTTTCCCACAAATCGAGTTTCCTACACCCAACGCTTTGTGACTCAGCAAATAGAATTTCTCTTTCACTATAAATGACATCAATACAGGTGGTCAGAGAATTCTCTGAGGTCTTTTTGTCCTTTCCATTTTTGTTGCACCAGAATGAAAACTGCCTCAGCGCTGAAGGGGGACAACAAAAGCCAGTGGCTGATCAGGACTCCTGGAAGGGCAGAGAGGAGGTTTCTAAACTGGAGATGAGAACGTTGTTAGTTAGGTTGAGGTCTAGATGATGATGAGCTCTGTCAAGGCAGTGAGTGGGGAATGACTGTTTGCTTTTTATAATAATATGAGAATCAAGAAACTTTGAATCAAGACACAGAGCAGTGACAAAAGGTCCATAAATGATTTAAAACACAAGTTTCTGCCTCTGAGTCAGGAACCTGGGTGCAAGCAAGAAAAGCTTATGCTTGTCCTATGTTAACACTCTTCCCAGTCTAAAGAAACCTAAATGTGTGCTTAGTCCACACAGTCTCAGCCTTCCTTAAAAACTTCAAGAGAAGCCATTCTGGCAACAGAACACCTCATTTTTTTCCTCAAAAGAGAAACAAACAGATAGGGCATGGTGAGGGAGATAAAACGGCCCAAAAAGCCTAATCGGCATTAGAAGTTTTAATTTTTTTTTTTCTAAAGGTAATTATTTTTGCTTAAAGCTCTCTCTCATTAGAAAAATGAATCAAATTGAAACAGGTCAAAACCTGATCTTTTCAATTTTATCTACAATTTCCAGAAAGGTAGCTGCCCAGAAAGAACTGGAAAATCATACATAAACTTCATTAGAGTTTTTGCTAGTCATCTCTTTAATTTTTCTCTCTAAAAAAAGTAATTTTCAGCACCTTTACAATTGAAGATTTGTGACATGTTTTGTCTTCATATTGTATATAAGTTAAACTTCCACATTTTAATATATATATATTTAGCACAATTCTTTTTCAGTTTCATATGCTTTCAGGAAATGGACAAGATAATTTCATGGGTCCTTTCTATGTCTAATTTCTTTTAATCTGTGAATTGCAAACATTTCTACAAATAGCCAGGGTTAGCCCAGATGTTTCTTGAAAGGGTAAGAAAGCACCACAAGTTAAAAAGGGAAATCATCAATGACTGAATCAAAGAGCTGGAATGCCATTTCTTAAGAGATAATAGCTGTTGTGACTCACGTGTTTACAATACAAGCCTGGATTTTTCCATTCCTCACAGGCATATTTTTGAAGTACAAGGCTTCAAACACATTGTTTTTGTGATATCACCATGCACAGAATGAAAATTTCCCTCTTGCTTGGTCAGCTAGCATCGCTTGTTGCTGATAAAATGTACTGGTTATGCAAACAAAACGTGCATACGACAATAAGGCCCCAAGAAGAATTCTTTCTTTGGTGTGGCAAGAAGTGAGAGCAAAGAAATTAAGTATTGCTAGCACTTGTACTTATTCAGAAAGATAAATACTGTTTTCCATTGCAGTTTTAACCTTACTGTCACAGGCTTCAGCCACTCCAGCTCAAAATAACTTTCAGGTTCTCGGAACATCACCTGCAAACCCTGCAAGTCCCTCTGTTTTATCAGGGACTCACGAGCTTGTATTCCAGGCCCTTGGCAATGGTAATAAAGGAACCAAACTGGAAGACCAAGGTTGTGAGAGTGTCTTGCAGGCTAAAGGCATCAGACATGCTCATCTTGAATAGGACTGTCCTCATCTGTTGATTTCCGTGATGCCGCTCAAGAAGCTACTGCAGACCACGGGCTGGGGAGAGGGATGTTTGCACTGCAGCTCTGCTAGTCCAAACTCTTACAAAATACTAATCCCAGAGCCCTAAATTCTCCTTTTGTTGAAGAAATGTTTCTGATTAAATAAAGATTTTTGTCTTCCTAACTGCTGTGGTAACAAGAAGAGTCATGTGGATGGGATTTATTTTCAGTGTCTGAGACTACATGGAGCACAGTCATCTTTTCCCCCAACACACTCCTTTTCCATATAATCTCTTTGGCATTTTTCTTTGACCTGCAGAGCACAGCAAAACATGAGAATTGTAGGCTAGAGAAATAAAGAACCGAGCAATGACACATCTAATTTAATGGCACTGGTCTAGATTAATAAATTCAGATGCATAAATTTACACACAAACACAAACACCTAATAAGATTAAAAAACACTACAAGTTGATATGGGATCCAACAGAAATTTTATTCCAGCCATGAAATAATGGCCACATGAAGAACTGCTTTTAACTCAGATCAAATTAAGACTTTTTGTAAAAAGATGAATAAGCTAAAGGAGTCTAGGTAACTGAGACACACTTCATAATTTTACTGACAACAGAAAAATAAACAAACAAACAACCTTATGAGACTTAATCCACTTATATTTATACCACATCTCACATTCTACAGTGAGGGGGTGTCATGGGAAATTCTCTTTTAACTGAAAAATTTCAGTTGCTGTTAGCACACACTTTGAGGGCCTGTGTGCTCACATTAAGATAGTCCTCAAAAATTTACAGAGCACACTCATAACTTCTGCTTAAGCTGATATTTGGCTTGTTTCTCTCCAAGAGGCATAATTTTTTCAAGACCACAAACAATGCTTGTTTTTGCAGCACATGTTCTTAACACATATAATCAGCCACATCTCCAGCTGCCATAAATCAGCACAGCTCTGCCCAGGGAAGTCACACCTGGGGAATTGATCTATTAGGACCCAGAATATTTGGCTAGAAATGTTTCCTTTAAAAAGAGCACCTTCACACCAGAGCATGAACACCAGATAGTGTGTAATTGAGGTATTAAACTAATGGCCTAGAAGGTAACCAAGCTTGCAGGGAGCTGGGAAACTCTGAGCTTTTTGCACCCTGTGAAGGCAATCTGCAAATGCTTGTTCATCCAGAAACATCTTGTTGGGTGAGCTCCAAAATGCAGGTGCAAAAAGGGCTATGGAAAATCCAGTGCCTGGTTCCCATGGCTGGTCTGCAGGGGAAAATTATGATATTCCACAAAATTCTGATAGAAATGGCTGAAATGTTTAGCTCTTGGAGCTCTCCTAGGCAAAGCACAGTTTTGAAACCTGTCCAAGCTGACACAGGAGGAGATGTGAGCCAGAGT